AGAAGCAATTCACGTTATTCGAACCCTACAAGCCGAGCTTTCCATCATCAAATGCGAGTTGTATATTGACGATGCTGACTTTGCAAAGTTCTATGATGAGGAAAAGTTGTACCTCAAAGAATTGAAACAACCACCAATCCAAGATCGCCTTTGCATTCGATATGTTGAAGTTCTTGATGACCTCAACTCGTGCTGGTAAGCACTTGTCCAATCTATCAGTATTTTGCCAAGCTTAAATTGCAGGAACAAATGGAACACTGCTTGATCAACTGCCAACAATGCACTTACCACTGTGAGAGTGGGTAATTTTGAAGAGATTAGTGCTGCCCTTACTACAGCTTGCATCCGTGTTGACACTGCTTATGGAAAGTTGCAAAATGCAGAAGCCTTAGTGGCACACATGGAGATTCAACGTCATGTCGAGGAGCGCTGGGCTGTCGGGTGTCCCAAGTACATGCAGTACAAAGAGGAAGCAACACTAGGCAAGTACCACACGGTGTTGAACGAGCTCAAACACCTTGTTGTTATGAGGCTTTTCGAGCTCTCAAAGCTTCCTTTATCAGGGACAGGTTTTAGTTCTGTCTTGTTCTGTATTATTATATATTTATTTGTTTTTTTTTAGGGTATGAACTGTTACAAGAACATCTAGACGCTTGGGCCCCTACCATTTTTCTCCTAATCCTCCTCGTATCAGCCCTTGCATCATACCCTTACCCCGACCTTACCCTGGTCATCCTTGTCATCCTCGCATTCCCTTTCGCTCTCTACCTGTCGCTTCAGCAGAGCCAGTACATCTGGCTGGATCCTTTTGCTGACAAAACATACCCATGCTCCGTTCCACCACCTGACTGATCCTGTGGACAGTCCCCGTTGCCCTTTTCCCTTTCTTGATCTCTGACTCAGTGCGCAGTCGCACATGCGACTTATAGATAGCTCCACAGCTGCACGATCGTGCCCCTGCGCGTTTCACTTCCTATTTCGACCTTTGACTCACTTTCTTATCTAGCACGTTCTGCCTCGCCCGTGTCTCAACGCGAACGTGCTTTCCTTTTATGGTTATGCCCTTTACCGATTGCTTCTCTTGGTAGTACGAGTTATCATCCACTAATACTTCTCCTGTCCTCTATATAAACTCGCTACCATGTACTATATTCCCTAACTTGAATCTACTTGGTTCTTGACCTCCTACTCTCACCAGAGTGATCCTTTCTGCCTCGCCAACAGTCTATATTCTATCTTCTTATCTGCTCTTTGCAGATAAGCCTATAGTCTCGATCTTTACTCATCGACTTCATCGACGAGCAAAGCCCCTGTTAATTAGTCAGACTTCTGTCCTTCTAATTAATGACGATCTTACGATTAACCTTTGGGTGTCGTAAGCCTTGGCCGATATAGCTTATCGTCTCACACCCGCTTGACATAAGCTACCCGATTTGGACATAGGCGTCAAATCTTACTTGCCGAAGCCTCGCCAAGTAAGACCCCTAACCTTGGGCTAGCCCAAGGACGTCCTCGACTGTTGACGACACACGCTCTGTTTGAGCGTCGCCAACAGATACCATCCAAGTTGTAACATGAACTACGTCAGCAAATTGGGAAGGCACTGCAGCGCTGTTCAGAGGCAATTCGAAACACAATTAACTGGTACAATATCCAAGCTGTTGCACTTAACCTCCCTCGGCCAAAGCTGTCCTGGAAAGACATCACAGAGTACAGCTTCTTAGGGGAATTCAGTTTGTTGCATCATTCCCACACAGATGTCAGGGAACAGGACTGGACGAAACCCACTCACCACGAAGCCACAACAAAATATTCCAAACTGTTGCGTGCTCAGGAAGAGGTATCTTGTCTCAACGTCGAAATCTGTTGATTGTGTATGTTCATCCATGATGAGGAAATGGAGATGAAGAAAGTCATTGAAGGCCTTCAATCATCTCATCTCCTCGCATCTGAGTTACAGCGACAGTGGCGAAGTTGTTCAGCCATCAATGCATTCCACATTTTCCATCTCAATCAGATTGAAGCCCTCCCAGGATTTTCAGGTGTGCGTGGCATTGGAGTACATTCATGCATAGATTTGGATGTGGATGACATCATTGCTTCTGAGTATGCAGATGCGGTGTTCTGCATGATGTGGGAATCATGCATGGACATGAATACTAGGTGACCCTCAAAAGATAAAGTCTGGTAGCTTAGTCCTCAGACTAGTCAACCCATACCTTGGTTTCAAACCATGGTTCATATTTCCAGTTTTCCCCAAGTTTCATGATCTGAATATGTTTTGACGGAAAAAGTCTAATGTGAGATGGGAATCACATTTAGACCTAGTTGATGTGAGAAGAGAAATGAAGGTTAAGGTATAGCCTTGCCTTTGGCTTATTCACTTTGGCTAGAGAAAACCATAGAGAAAAGTATAAAGCCAATAAAAAACCTATCCAAAAAGACCGTGTTTCAATTCCTGCCAACTGTCTTATTTTTGCTACCTACTTTTCTCTAGTGTTTCTTTACTTTACTTTTTCATTAGGATGCTTTGACTCACCTGACACTTCATAAAATTGTACTCATAGGGTATGATGTCATTATGATGTCATAAGACTCCACAGATACTCCTGCAGGTATTCTGTTGAAAGATATTATGTCATCAAGCTCTAGATTATTCTACTCCACCCATGATGTCATTTCCTTCTAGAATATTCTGCTCCACAATGACTCACTCTGACTCACTCATGGAAGGTTCTGGAATCTTTTGCTCCACAATGATGTCACTCTTGATGTCATTATGATGTCATAGCTCCATCTTTCACTTGTATTTTATTCTTTTATTGGGTTTGACCCAATATTTTGATTGGTCCTCCTTATTTTTTATTGTTTGTGAACCTAGGTTACTTTCCCACACAAAATGTATATAAGGAGAGCCCATTCTCCCCCAAAAAAATATGATCTCCCATTTGTAGCTATCTGCCTATCAGATATTTCACTTGCAAAGTTAGTCCCTTTGAAGTGAGACAAGTGCAGGGAAAGAATTCCCTTGAGATTATAAATTTCTTACCTTAGAAACTTATTTAGTGCTATAGACCAAGTGTTCTTGGTCACATATATTGTCTTTGAGACCCCTTTGTCTCATTGCTCTGTGCCCTTTGACTAAGCGATCTTAGTCATCTATCATATTGTTGAGACCACGTCTCACTAGTTGTCCCATAGACCAAGCGATCTTGGTCAAGTTCCAGTCCCATTTGTTCAAGCGATCTTGAACATATATATAGTATACTTGAGACCATTGTCTCATAGTTCCAGTGCCCATAGACCAAGCGATCTTGGTCATATTTCGTATATTTGAGACCACGTCTCACTAGTTCCAGTATCCAAGTCCAGAGCCTAGAAGGAGATTTCCTAGGCAAATACATTCCAGAAACCGAATTACGTGTCTAGAAGCTTATTCCTAGACAAGAGATTTGAGTTTCAATAAAGAAAAGTAAAGTTCCAGCTAGGTTGATCTTTATAAAAAGATTAGTTTAGCGAGCCTCCCAAGAACACACACGTTATCTACCACGAAATAGGAAAAGTTGTAGACCGTGTTAATTGAGGACTGGCAAGCAGTCTTATCCAAAGTGTAATTGTGGTGTCATTACATTTACACGACTTTATATAAGACCCTCGGTTATTAAGACAGCGGACGTTATACAGCAGGAGGAGCATGCGGACGAGATGGAGAGTATGGTCAGGTATCTCAATTCTGTGGCGGACTGATACATTCTATGATAGCTTGTAGTTATGACTTGTATTATCTGTGACAAGCTAATGAGAACTGGCAACTCGCCAACATACTCCCTTCATCTGAATCTTGTCAGTGGTACTTGACTTAGGGGCATGTCATGCCTCTTAACGACTGTGGTTTGAATGCAATATGCTACCATCCACTACTTTGGACAGACATGTTCTACCCGTAGTACTGTATATTCTACCACCCGCTACTTTGGACATGTTCTACCTAGTCCTCTGAGTCTGACTATACCATAACACATATGCTACCATCTGCTACTTTGGACATGTTCTAGCTAAATCTACAGCATATTCTACCATCCGCTACTTTGGACATGTTCTTTCTACCAATCCGCTACTTTGGACATGTTCTACCCAATACTAATGTCCAATGCTCACTTGCATTCGAGTTGAGTATTAATGCATCCCAGTCCAGTAATGTACTAACATTTATCTGCTATTTTAATCTTTAGTTCGGCTCTCAATCTCATACCTCAAACTTCATTTTCTTCACTACCACATCTCAACCTCAAGCTCAACACTACGAACCACACCAGGTCATGGCACCATCATTTTCAGTGCAGAACTTAGTGGCACTGCGTATTTCTGCATTTGCTGAAAGTTACAGCAATTCTGAACATCAGGCAGCAGCCCGTGCACTGCTTCGACACAATGTCCATCTTGATGGAACTCACTACCACACCAGGAAGCCAGGCAGCCTTCGCCCGTCATATGTGGCCTTCAACTCTTTTCCTATAATGAAGCAACATTCTCTCACTTGTGAGGAGTTGGTCGAAGCCTCCTTGCAAGATGTCTTCGATTCAGTATGTGCCCACTTCATGTTTCTTACAGATTCAATTAATTACTCCAGCAGATTGCTATGCAGGACGGAGATTGCTATGCAGGACGGAGATTGCTATGCAGGACCGTCTCGACAGAGGAATTTCAGTACTGATTCGTTGCCCAGGTTTCAATGCCAACACTGCACTCTCTCCAGGGGATGTGGCAGTTGATTTATACATCACCCCACAAGAGCTGCAGGAGAACTCTGCATGTATTGGAGTATATTGCAGTCTTAGTTCAAGTGTTTTGCGAAGAATTTGTTGTTCCTCACATGGAACGATTCATGAAGTGCTGTCATATTGAAGGTGTCAAGCCACCACATCGTTGTAAGTCATTTTTATATTTTTGTTCTCTTATACATGTATTCTCATGGAATGTTACAGTTGTTTCAGCACGGATTAATCTCAGTGGCCCGCCGCACCTTCCAGCACCCAGTGTTGCAACTGGGGCACGTATCCAGTGCTCAGGCTATCTGAAAGAGGCTTTCAAGAGGGAGCTCTCATTTGGATCAAAGGAACCATCATCATTGCCTGCTTCAGCTGCCATCTGTCATGCTACTGCTCCAGTGTCAATGGCTTAAGCCCCAGTGTCAAATTCCCATCCAATGGCTCAAGCCCCAGTGTCAAATTTCCATCCAATGGCTCAAGCTGCCAGTCCTCGTGCTCCACTGTCAACAGCTCAAGCCCCAGTGTCAAATTCCTGTCCAATGGCCCAAGCTACCAGGTCTTGTGGTCAGGTCCTTTGCCGCCGTCCTGCAGAGGCATTTCTCGCTAATCAGAGCTCAGTGATCCTTGAGCCCATCATTTTGGGTCCACTGCTTATCAGTATTGGCCCACACACAGACACTATTCTTGATCAGTTTAAGCTGGCTGATGAAACCCTACTAAAGCTGCACATTTTAATCAGCATCATTCATAGCAGTTGATGGGAAGAAAATCTGCACTTGCCAAGATGGGACCTCAATTACGAGCAAGCATCTAAGCTCAATTGGGCACTTCATGCCAACCTCAACCTCGGTTCTCCATTTATCTTCAGGGTAAGCAGAGTTCACTTTTGCACCATCCTCTACAGTAGCTAAATTTTTTGCTAGGGTTCTTCTTCCTCCATTTGGAAAGTATGTAGGGTCATTGTGCTTGTACTTATGACCCTTGCCGTTTTCTGTGCGTTTTACCTTGTTTATCTTGTTTTGACGTAGATCCTTCATTTATTTGATCACTGTCAATTTGGATTGATTTTTCTGCACTTTGCACTGCCTAATGACTAGCGTCCATTAAACAAATTCATGATCCGGTGTGATTTAGTGTATTTAAATTATATGCACTGACTCTCACCTTCTATGCCAACATGGTCTCCCACAAGTCCACACAATGAAACTTGTCAGTGTGCACACAGGGACTGACTAGGACTCATGCTAAGGTACGACTCAGCACTTTACTAACCTTCGGCTGCACTGCATCAGGAAATTCTCACATTACTTTATTTGTCCTTAAACAGACTTAATACACTTAAGTGTCTTGTTGAAAGGTGGATCTACTTGTCCAACATTTCAACTTGAATATATTCAGAAAGGAAATGTTGAGGTATATTGATATATATGTTTTATTATGCTTCACACTAGAGAAATATGAAATATGCCAGGTAAATAATGTGAGAGAGAGCAAACAAGTTTTGAGATAAGTAGGTTAAGCTGATTAAGGAGATTAAGGAATGTGAGAATTTCCTGATGTGGTCACAAGTGCGCGCCGCCTTACTTCCCGCGTGACACTTAGCGCCGACACGCATAAATGGGATACCCAGGTGGATTCGCCAGGCGTGTGACGCTGTGACGAACCTAAGTGCGTATCTATACAGTACCCCTAATACAATGAGATTCCAGTAACGTGGCAGGTTATGAATCTTATGATATAATGGTCGCAATCGATTGAATACCCTTTTGCAAGTTCTACCGAAAATTCTGCCGTCTGACAGCAATAACGATTCTTCCAGATCAATCAGAATTGTATACACAGAATATAAAAACTGGTCATCGTCCGATAGTGCTCTCCCATCCTCAGAGACATCATTCAATATCTCCCTCGGAATATTCCATATTACCTCACACAAAGAATGTATTTCTCCTTCCTCGCTGTTGTTGTTGCTTTGACAGCGTCTATGTCTGTCATTGGATGTTACAAAAAAAGTTGCAAAACAGTATTTGATTGCTGCCCGGGGTATTTTTGTATAGCTCACGCTGATGTGAGTATGAGCAGGTCACTGTGAAACCAGTATTCAACGGCATGACTCACATTTGCGCCTTAGGATTCAGGAGACCCAAGCTGCCGCACGCACGGTGAGAAACATTGAGCCGGCAGCTCGAGCGGCACCTCGCGACAGCAAGTCATATGTCTGCTGTTGCTTTAGTATCATAGTTGATGGTGCAATACCTAGTTTGGAGTCAATCAGTACAGTTGTTTGTAGACAAATTGTTCTGCTGCTCGAGCAATGTTGATGTAACTTGATAATCTGAACGTGATCAACCGTGCCTAGTCTTGCCCGTGGTCCACTATGTTTGAATTTGAGAGGCTGTCGAAACGAGCGATCATCGCTACTGATGATTAATATTGCATCTACGACATACGAAACCGTACAGAGGCTGCTGACGGACTCGTCGGCCTCGATCCATCCAGCACTGTGAACGGCGCAATTTGTCACCCAATCAGGATATAAGCACCTTTACTCTTGATCGATAACTGAAAAGTCTGCAGCTCATCGTCTGCCATCAGGGAGGGCGAACGGGTTGGGGATAGCATCAGAACTCAACCAACATATCTTCAAGAGCTTGTACCACAATCGAGTTCATAAGACGAGCAAGATTAAGTCACCTTGGCGAGGGCGCGTGGTGGGTATTAGTCTGCCAGAAGCGATTCGTGTATTACGAACTTTCGAAGCCTTACCAAAGCCGCGTCACGGTCAGTGACACGTCCTCCATTCAGAGCATTGTCGAGTTTGCTTGTCCGTATAGCCTACGACCTCAGTAACGACGTAAGGGCCACAGTTGATTACGCTCCCGCAGGTTCTATCTGCCAAATCTATCAGGATCGTGCCCCTGTATATATGCAGGATATAAAAGCTTGTGATTATCCTAGTGTTCCCACATCCTCAGAAGATTCTATATCGCCTCGCACAAAAAATGCGTTTCTCCTTCCTCGCCGTCGTGGTTATGTTGACAGCATCTCTGTCTGTCAAAGCCTCACGCTGCGACGGAAGATTATGCTTGACAAATGAAAACTGCTGCAAAGGCTCTTTTTGTCTACCTGATAAAGTGAACGTAGTGAGTATGAGCAGATCGCTGTGCAGCCAGGATTCAACCACATGACTCACCTGCTCGTCTTAGGGTTCAGGATACAATTACTGTGAGCCGAGTTAACAAGTGAGCCGGCAGCCCGAGCGGTACATCGCAACAGCAAGTCATGTTTCCGTTTTCGTTTTGGTATCATGATTGATGGTGTGATACCTAGTTCGAAGTCGATCACTAAAGTTGTTCGTGGACAAATTTTCGTGCTGCGCTTTGGTATCATGGTTGACGGTGCAATACCTAGTTCGGAGTCAATCAGTACAGTTGTTTGTGGACAATTTTTTGTGCTCCTCGAGTAATGCGGGTGCTTGAACTCATCTGAACGCCATCGACCGCGCCTAGTCTGGCTTGTCGTCCACTGAGCTGAAGTTCGAGAGACTGTCAAAACGAGCGGTCACTGCTGCTGAAGTTAATACAGGAATGCCACACTACGAAGATAGAACGCATTGCGTAGACATTTCCTTACGATTTTTAATCCATTCATCTCCAAAGCAAGTTTTCCTTATTGCGTCTCCGTGCAGTGGTACATGTTACAACAAGCGAGTCATTGCATGTGTTAGCTTGTTTCGCGAGTTGATCTGCGCATCTATTGCATTGAGATGGTCGGGAGTTCATGGAATCTCACTGCGATGGAAGAATGATGCAGGTGGGAAGTCTTCGATGGTTTGACGGACCGGTAGGGCCAGGCATTGTGAGAGTCCAGGAGTAACTGCATACGCAGCCTACATCACGGACTTGTTGTCAACACAGAAATGGAGGTGGTTCACTTTGATATTCCCGTACAAACTGTGCATATTTGTTGATGCCCGTGAAATCGCCGGCAATTCCACATCCTAAACTTATTAGGACCTATTAATTCGGAATTTCTTCCAGTCCAGCCTACCCTGGTTCTATCTCCTTGATCGATCGATAGTCTCGATCCATCTAAGTAAAGGAGGAGATATAAGGCGTTCATTTATGTAGGTGTCGCGGATAGTCTGTAGATGTGGTTTCGCTGCATCTTTCTTGCTCAACCCTTTCCCGTCATCCAGATTCCACCCGTATTGAGTTGGTTTTAACTGTGTTGGCCCGAGGAGGTAGTGCGATATGTCGATGGGAGTCACACGCGCTGATAGACGGGTGAGTCTGGTTGAATTTGGGGATTTGCATCCGCGCGGACGATGAGCGTTTTGATGAACTGTTCAGACACCTGCATTTACGTAAATGAATCTGTGTTTTCTCGACTTCCCACGAAGTGGAAGGAGTTTCGATAAAACAGATTTCTGAGTTGTCCAAACCAAAAGGTCCTTAATTGTGGATCAGTTTTAAATTCCAAACTCTGTATCGACATCATACCGATCGAATTCACTGATGTTCGGGCTGCTGAAAATTACTGTCACAGCCCCAGAAGCTGCGCGAGGACTCGCTGGGCAGCCCTGAGTTAGCGAAGAACTGGAGGAGGTGACTACGGTGACTCAGATTTTTGAATAATGTAGATCGTCGTGGCCATCCTCGCAGAATAACATGATGTTTCTCTGGCACACGTGTACCGTCGATCTACTTCAAAGCACGTCACGTGACTCCGAGAGGCGTTCAAGTCTCGCGAGGGGGCGTCGACGTTAATGCAGCGACTTGTAACTAGACTCTATGCTCGTCTACACAGTCTTGTTCGACTCTGAGTGTAACTCGTCTGACTTGACAAGTACATACGCATTTTCTCCAAGGACCATCATGGTCGTCTAAATCGATCAAGCGCCGATGGTTTCCGCGCCTCCAACTGACCATTCTCGATGGCCTTTGCCACGCGTTTTTCCTCCCGCTGCCTCTCCAGTTTTGCACGAATAGCGACCTATATTTTCAGAGCGCGCAAACATGAGCACACGATTAATGAATGGAACGATTGACCAAGGCTTACCGCAGTTGGATCGATGACATTTTTGCGTTGCTTCCGGAGGTATCTGGGTTTCGAATATGATAAGTGATAGGATGCAGTGTCTCGTACGGAGTACATACCTTTTGACACTCTTTCCTTTGCCGCGCATTTTCCGCTTTTCTTTCTCTGTACGCGACTGTGGTTTGTCATTCTTGTCGCCGTCGCCGTCAGCGTCCTCGTCGTCACCATCAACGAGCTCTGTTTCATCTGCTTTACCCTGTACACGAAGTCGCTCGAGGCGAGGAAGACGAGCGAAGGGAATATCATGCGTGTCATTGACAGCAGTCGTTAAGTTTGTTGGCGGTGCAAGGGCTCCGACGAAATCCGGGTCGAGTGTGATCATGTCCGGTTGAATCTAAGTTGATGAATAGTCCATATCAGTGTTATTAAAGAATGAGCTAGACGTTGAGCATACCTTGTCCAATAGACCCTTGACTTCCCTTTCCCTTCTTGCCTTCTTATTCTCGAATGGATCGGCTTCCATACTATCGAAGTTTGGTTCGCCGACTCCAGGTACAAGAATGCTCGACAAACCAGCATTGTGTCCGATCGTAAGAATATCTTGAAAAGGGCAGAATCTTACCGAAGTAAGCGGTCGATGTGGTATTGGGTGCGTGAGGTAAAGAGGTGGGGGAGCTTTAGGTATATGCGGGGTCTGTATTGACGGTTTTGTATACACCTAGCACGCAATGGATGAGAACCGCCGCAAGCAAGAGTGCAGTAACTCACATTGACACTTCCACCTACTGCAACACTTAAAGCACCTCTTGCACTCCACTCCAACTCGGCACCGCCACCTCTTGTCGACCATTCCCGCACAGTACCCTTCCAATTTCGGCAGTCCCAGACCTTTACGACGCCATCCTGGCCTGACGTCGCCATATAGCGCCCACCAGAACTCGGATCTACGCTCAGCCCCACCACTGGACCGAGATGTGCTAATATTTGTACAGCGGGATGAGGAATGTTAGGCGTCCAGAGGGTGACAACGCCATTGGAGTGGCCGAGGTGCAACACGGCGTTGTGTTTATTTTGTGCGAGTGTATGACATGCCCCGAGCTTGGTTCGATGCTCGGCAACGATATGACCTGTGGAGGTGTCTTGATATTTTAAAAATCCGTTGTTTCCCTAATGTCGACTGAGCTGGCACAGGTTGGCATTAAATTAGAATGACTGACCACACTAGCGAGCAACCAGTGATATGGAAGGAATTCGAGTCGCGTGGATTCAATGTGAGCTTTCAGTCGGTGTAGCTCGACACCATCACGGTCATATATAAATACATATTTTTTTTGTGCGACCGCGAAGAATGACTGGTCCTGCAAAAATCTTTATTGAAATTGAGAGTTGTTACATGCAAGTAACAAGCGACGTACGTGATATCGCGACATGTTTCCTGCAGCTGAAGCTCAGTATGCATGGTTCCTGTTTGCCAGTCAAAAGTCGCAACATGACCCATGTTGCCAACAATGGCAAGATGTCTACCGTTCCTCGAGTATCTCGAGCGATACGGACCACCGTCCAACTTCAGTTCCCGTCGTCCTTTGGCAGCTTCCTGACTAGCACTTTGCGCAATATCATCCTGGCCTATTCTCCAAGTTCGTTCCAGCTCGGTCTCCACCTGCATTTTCCCTGCCTCGTTTGTTAGCAATAGTTCAGCATCTTCGACAAGTGCTTTTGAACGTGCAGCGTGTGCTGCCTGGCGATTTAGTTTTGTTCTTAGCTTGAGATCCTTGACGTGCTTGTGCTTTGGCACATTGTCTGGTGGTGGAGAGGTAGGACGAAGGGATTTTGGCAGGGTAGTGTTTTGTGCCTTGATAAACAAGGAATCTACAGGAGACGAGGCCATTTGTACGCTCGCCCGGTGATCAATTGATCACTAGTGCTGCTAGAAATTGATTTGATAAAACTGTACAAAGCCAAAACTCTGCTGACTAAACCAAACACAATCCCGGGACTAATTACTTATTAGTTCTGAAGTAATTCAAGTTCCTTTGCATACACTTACGCATCGCCACTCCAAAGCGACACCCTACCTGTATTGCTAAAGATGTAGGGCATCATGATAATTTTATAGGTGGTTTAATGTTGAACCTACAGGCCGCCCAAGGGTGCGACCAAGAAGAGGGCCGCGAACGACGGTTCCACCACTCATACACCTGTTCGTGCCATTTTCTCACTCAATTCGGTCGCTCAATAAAGACTATTAGACTCTCTCCGAGCAGCTGTCATACCTGCACAGTCCTCGTCCATTCAAAAATCCTAACTACATAAAAAATGCGAATCGTCGAACCAAGAACCTGAAAACCGTGCTAGGTCAGGAACGGGAGAAAGAGCGGGTCGAAAGGGAGAGGCGGAGACAAGAGAGAGATAGTCAGGCGATGGATATTGATGAAGGCAAGAAAGAGCTTGTTGAGGTGAACGAGGAAATCTCGACTTGTGAGTTGATTACGGGTTTCCTTGCAGTCGGCGGAACTGATTCTTTTAGACCTATCGATAGAAGCACCACCATCTGTTCTGCCACAGAGGCATTACTGCGATATTACAGGGCTGGAGGTCAGTGTTCACCTGTTTTCCGAGGATATTCTGTCGAAGTCAAATCATTAGGCACCGTATACCGATCCTCGGACTGGACTGAGGTATCACGACAAGAGCGTTTATGAGCTTGTTAAGAACCTTGTAAGAAGTCAGTATCTTCCTTTCAAACCTGATTTTAATCTTCTCGCAGAGCCCAAGCGCGGCGAAGGACTATTTGGCTGCAAGGGGCGTAAATCCCATTGTCCGATAGATAGCCTATCATTCTCGACTGATATGGATTCATCATCCGTGGCACCGACTGCTATGCTCTAACAAATCGCACACCCAGGTGTCCGTGGCTCTCTTGGATGCACAATTATTCTGTACGAGATATAGGACCCCAGGGATTGCATGTGACACTATAGGCTTTCCTTCAATGCGAATTCTACATGTCGGTGAGAGGTTGTTAACCAATACAATGACTACATGACATCCACTCAGGGGAACAAGTTTACGGCTGGATGGCCGAGTGGTCTAAGGCGCTAGAATCAGGATCTAGTCCGAAAGGGCGCGTGTTCGAATCACGCTCCAGTCAATAAATTTTGTTCTGTCTTTTTTTCCTCGACTCGGGGCCCCAGATCGGCCCCCTCAGTGTGTGAGATACCTAAATGTAGTTACTCCTTGTGGCGTACTTAACTCGTACTGGTTATGACACGGCAGCGCGCGCGGGGTAGGAGCACCATGAGAGGATGCAGTTCTTATCAAAGTTACATATGAAATGGCCGCGGAGCTTGGCAAAAGCGGTTCGGCGTCTCAATATTAATCTTGTAGACAGTTTGTGTGAATCAGTCAATTCAGTTCCCCATGTCATTTGGTGATAAGAACTCAGAGGTACTAGTATAAATGAGGTAAGGTCCTGAGCGCCTTTCTGAACACTTTTACTTGCATGTCGACCAGTGAAGTTCTCCCTCAAGGTGCAGGCTATGGCGTCGGTGAGTTGATTTCTGGTTCGCATGTTGTAAATACTCATCTCCAATAACTTTGTCAGTCATCGGTAAGCCATATTGTAATCTATCTTCTGTCATTTGCTCAAGATCATCCAGGCATTGGACTGTTTTTCAGTGCTTTCATGGTGGGTTTGACTGCTGTACAGGCACGCTACACAGGTGTCTCTCCCTCCGATTCTGAGGAGTTCACCTCTGCTTCGCGCTCAGTGAAGCCTGGCCTTATTGCCTCTGGCATTGTCTCTGCTTGGACCTGGGCAGCAACCCTGGTATGTCGATGTCCAACCTCCATATTCACATTCAGCTTAGCCCGTGGCATCACTTAGCTCCAATCCAGCGCAATAGCTTATAGATATGGCATTTCGGGGCCATGGTGGTACGCTGCAGGTGCGACAGTGCAGGTCCTCTTGTTCGCGCAGCTTGCCGCGAAGCTAAAGCTCAATGCTCCCTATGCACACACCTGGCTTGAGATCATCGCAGCGCGGTGGGGAACTACAGCGCATCTTGTTTTCATGGTTTTCGGTCTTGCGACAAACTTGATCGTATCCTCCATGCTTGTCTTGGGCGGTTCAGCTACTGTGACGAGTTTGACTGGGATGAGCACGATTGCTGCTTGTTTTCTCATCCCGCTGGTCGTTGCCATTTATGTCGTCGTTGGTGGAATGCGTTCCACACTGCTTTGCGATTAGTAAGTGGATATCGTACATGCCATGTTCCCTGACTCAAACTTTTCTTTTCAGTACACATACAACCGTCCTCTTCGCCATCATCTTCACCTTTGTGTTCACCGTATATGCAACTTCGGGCTCCATTGGTTCCATCAGTCGCATGCACTACCTATTGGGTGAGGTATCCCAAATCGCACCCGTAGCTGGTAATGCTGGTGGCTCGTACCTGACTCTCCGCTCTAAAAATGGCCTTATCTTCGGTGTTATTAACCTCATTGGCAACTTCGCAACTGTCTTCCAGGACCAGGCATATTGGCAGCGCGCCATTGCCAGCAGACCTTCTACGACCGTCAAGGCGTATCTTATCGGTGGATTGGCATGGTGAGTTAGTGTCTTTAACAGAATTTGCCAGCATTGCTGATTCAAGCGTAGGTTTGCTATTCCATTTGCATTCTCAACGACGCTTGGGCTTGCTGCAGTGGCTTTTTCTGCGGTGCCTACTGCCAACTCTACGTCACAAGATCCTCTATCAAGCGGCTTTATTCCAATGCTTGCGCCGCTTTCGGAAAGTGCTATCTCAGAGGGTCTTCCAGCTTCGCTAGCTGCTGCGACCTTGCTCGGGAAATCGGGCGCAGCTGCACTTCTTGTCGTGCTCTTCCTGGCTGTTACAAGTGCCACAAGCGCGGAGCTCATCGCTGTCTCTTCTATTTTGACTTACGATATCTATGTGGTATGTTCCTATCTAGCATTCGGCACCAAAACCACTAACTGGTGATGGTATAGAGATATATTAATCCGAAGGCTACCGAGCGACAAATTCTGCGCATGAGTCATGCAGGGGTAAACATCTTTTTTCTTGGAAAATATAATCTTATCAATTAACATGGCTAGGTTCTTATCTTTGCCCTCGTGATGGGCCTCGCCGGTGTTATTTTCTACTACATCGGAGTGTCCATGGGTTGGCTTTATGTCAGTGCCTATATTTGTGTTATGCATTGTGCCTGACATTATTTACAGACGTTCATGGGAGTCATCCTCGGCTCTGCTGTCTGCCCAATTGCCCTTTGCATTACCTGGAAAAAAGCTAACAAAGTCGGCTGCATCGTTGGTTCCCTCGTTGGTTTTGCCGCAGGTGTTATTGCCTGGCTAGTCACCACCTCTGCGCTCAACCAAAAGATGATCAATGTCACCGTACGTCTCTTATGCTCTTCTGGTTCTCTTTCTGACCTCATTGCATGATCAGACGAGCGGAGGTTAGATCACCACAATTTCGATATTGCCGTGAAGTTGAATTGACCCAATGATTGATTGATAGGCAACTACGAAATGCTTTCAGGAAACCTTGCATCGATCGGTGTTGGTGCTATTATCTCAACTGTTGCTTCACTTATCGTGCGCAAAATGTTTCATCCCTTGAGATCATAAGCTGATTAATCCTGAAGTGGCCAGATGACTACGATTTTGCTTCGACTCGTGCAATCAATAGCCATGGTGCTGCTGCTACTAGTCAAAATGCGAACGATGAAGTGGAGGAGTCAGGGGATGAGAAGAAAGTTCCAGATGTATCAGTGTCATCTGTGACAGACGAGGCACCAATCGATCCGGAGCTGGACCCAGTCAGCCTAAATAATGCATTCAAGTTCGCTGCCAGAGCATCTGTAGTACTTGTTCGTGCTTCATGTTTCCTTATACTTGCTCATATACTGAAGCCACTGGCTCTACAGACGTTGGTACTGCTGATACTTATCCCTCTCCCCCTCTTTGGTGCCCAGACGATCTATGGCGTTACCGGCTTTTCGGTATGGGTGATAGTGGGTATTATCTGGACGTTCGTGTCGGCGTTCGCAGTCGTGTTATACCCCCTGTGGGAGAGCAGAGCTGCCCTTGGGCTCATTTCGAGAGGAGTGATCAAGGTAAGCGTGGTCTTTTCATCTGAGAGCTCGTCTGATGATGTGCAGGATATTTTCTCTCCTGGGAGTGGAAAATTCGTAGCGCCATCTTCGATGAACGAGCCTGGCGAATGAAATGGTACGACAGCTTTTTAGGAAGTCTATGTTACCTGTGCTAGACGATATAGATAGACGATACATAAAGTCTACATAGTGCTGTGGGGAGAGGTATATTTATGAAGTAAAACAAAAAGACAGTGTACGATCTACCTTGCTTGAAGCATGAATGGGAAATTATTTGATAGAAACTCTGGGCAAATTTCTCGTGCATGAGTATATGCATCTCGATCTTCCTCAAGTCATCGGCGCCGCGCTGCTCCAAAAGCCAGAGAAGATCTAGATACTGGTTGACCAGTCACTAGTCCTTGTGCTTCTCACCCGGCGACCTGGTTGATACAAGGAAGGAGAAAATGATGCAAGCGGCAGCCTCAACCTACGCTAGACATGCCCACGCCTAACACTCGCAAGGAGGTATGTTATTTTATTCTCATTACCATGCACTGATTCTCATTCACGACGGAGATAATACACGTCATTCAAGAATAATCATGGATCAATCACGCAGCGCCTGGTACATTATAATCGGGATAAGAGGTTTTGTAAAAAGAACTGATGTGAACCTCACTCTAGCTTCTCGGGGGTCCAGGTATGGGGACTATTTATTCCATGGTGGTTGGTACCCGCGACGATAGTTCTTTGAACGTAGTGCTCGGTAGCATCTGCGGTGTCCGAGACTAGCGTCCATGGACTGATATCTGTATGGTGCAGGAATCCATGATGGACTTGGGGAGTGATGAGATTTGGCCCATTGTCATCGTTCGATGTTCACATAGTCCCGACTACGCATATATACCTACATCGTAGACCATCCTATCCTTGTTATCTCCCGCCGTGTCATTCAATACAGCGCCGTTCTCCAGCTCCAACAGGGAGGGGGTTAGCGAATGAGAAAACTGAAACCAGTCGAGCCTGGAGTCGGGGATGTATTGCAGTAAGCTATATGCATGTATTCGAAGGACCGACACGGTGCTGGAGCAGCTGCTCAACAGGAAAAATGAGGATGTGGACGCAAGATATATAGTCAGGTTCGAGCGCTGGAGAGCACCGACTGCTCAATAAGATCCATTTTGGGAGATGTGAAGACGGGCGCTGAGATGGTATTCTGTCGAGGACGGTGGGTATGACGATAGGGTGCATGATTGGTGTAACGGTGATGGAGGCGTACCTCGTGTCCTAGGCGTCTATTAAAATGAATTTGAATGAGACAAGGTGAATGCAGTACTTCATATGAAGCTCCACTATGCAAACTTATCTCAAGATGAGATTCAGTCTCTCTGCGAGGTGCTGTGACTCTACACTTGACTGTATGCATGTATCTTGGATCACTGTAGCGAAACGCAATTGTGCTTGCATCCTTGGACTCTCTAGGAAAATCCCATACTTGGCGAGATGGCGATTTTATCAAAGGTGTAGCGTCAATAGGGCGTACTTTCGTTCAGCAGGCACATGCCTGAGTTAATGACCGATTATTTGGCTTTGTTGAACTTCAAACCCATTTCAGGCAATAGTGGCCCGTGCACTCATGTGCTTTCGTATAGAAGGGAGGTGTGGACTAGATGAAACCTCACCACTCTGGCCTTTTGGCTTAGATCAAGTGTAGTATCTGTTCTTAATAGTTTAACCACTATTATGAGGGCACCGCCCTCATTCTTTGGTTATCAAATTTTTGCCGCCCTTGTTCTCTCGAGCTCTGCTTGCAACTTGAGGGACATGATGACCTTGCCACTGCACTACAGGCTTGCGTCGTCGGGGGTCTTCTTTTTCGGCCTAATTCTCTCTTTGTTTGGTAACTTCTTCACAGTCTCTTGGCTGTGTATGGTGCCCAACAAACAGAAGTTCTGGTCTAAGGTTGGTTTTTCCTGTCTTGCACCATCTTATGCTTTTCGTACTCTATCCACGTCTTTGAATATTGAATGTTGAACCGAGTACCATAATTCTATAATCTAACTCAGGCCTAGTTATAGATGTTATGTTTTGAAGTTGTGTGGCACTACGGTTCATTCCCTCCATGTGGGCCATCTGGATTCGGTCACGGTAAAGGACTTCGCACTGTTGGCTCCCGGTCACGGTTACTGTGCGCGCCTCGTTTGCACCTGCAAGCGCTCGACTCAGCCTGGCCTGTTGTCGCTCTCCGCAAATGTCATGACAGGTATGAACTAATTCCGCCGTCCAATGCATCTGACAACGATATATAACAATCGAATTGTGTTGAACGTTGACTCGTCATCCTACAGTGCTCCCCCATCCTCACTTATGAGGAGTCGTTCGCTTGGTGTGCTCTCTCACACCTCCGTTCAGTGTAGCTAAGGACGGTATGGAACAGTGGCTTGGGATCAGAGCGCGGCGAGTGATGTTTCTTGTCTGTCCAACGCCGCATTGCTGATTTTTAATCCTCTCCGCATACTTTCGTAGTTCTAACGAGCATCCACTCCCGCACTCGCTACTCTTGTCCTTCCCTCGGTCTCATTATCTGGAGAGCATCGATCGAGCAGTGGCGCAGTGCATTGATACGTTCGGCGCATATACCCACTACGGGACTTCAACCTTCAAGATCTACCTTCCAAGTTTGTGTCTCATTCATCGTCGCTATCTTTCAGTCCAACGTACAACATAATGCTAAGTAGCCCGCAGTCACACCATCCACATTTAGGAGCGATCGCTAGGTAGTCGGGTGTGTTCTAATGCATTCAATGGAGTGTGCTCTGATTCTTTCAGACTGTCTGGACATGTCCCATCGATGATGTTCGTTTGTGAATCTCAAATAATCCCAGTCGCTGTTGGCGGTCAATAATCAATTCAAGTATTATTTACAGCTATCAGACTGGTTTTTCGCATCAAGATGTTTAGATCTAAGCGGTTCCTGCCGCCACCGTGGTGGTATACCATTGGGGTAAGTAGGATAGGGTTCGAAATTGTTTCTTCGAGCTCTGCTTGCAACTCGGAGGACATGATGACCTTGCTATTGCATTACTAGCTTATGTCGTCAAGGGCTTTCGACCTCGTCCTCTCTTTGTTCAGCAACTACTTCATAGTCTCTTGGCTATGTATGGTGCTTGGCAAACAGAAATTGTGGTCTACCTTTCGAAATGTCATCGATGTCATCACTCAAAATATACCTCAGGTTGACAATTTGATACAATGTTATAGGGCCGTGGCGGTGAAGGTCGGTTTTCCTGTTTTGCACCATACTTCCAAGTATCACCGTGACCTATTTCAGTGTTCACCACAATGTCAATCCGAGTATATATTCAAACTCCAGCTCGTGCTCCAAGTCTAGCTATAGGGTTCATGCTCTGCGGCTTCAATTCCTCTTTGTACTCCATCCATACCATCCGGATTCGACAGGCGATTCTGCATTGATGGCTCCTAGTTGGACTACTGTGTGCCCCGTTCGCACCTTTAAGCTCCATCCAGCCTACCGGCTGATCCCACTCCGCAAATAAGTTAGTATCATGGCAGACCATCCACTGACTGCCCGTCTTCTTATGTTCCAAGTTGCTGTGCAGGCTGATGCCGCTTGTGTCGGTCCTTGACTGCAAACATCAGATGAGGCCTAGCACGCCTAGTGACAATAAGACACTCTACCAGGTATGGCAACAACATTTCGAACCGGTGTACTACTTAGAAGCAGTTATGACCGCCGTCCTATCACAGTTAGTAAATCATGATACTGCTCAGCAGCTGCATTCTCCGAGTCGGCCTTATGTAATCAATTATGCAGATCCTGTCTTCGGCCTTTGAGAGACATGTTTCTCCACTGGTACTCCCTGTCGAGGTGGCTTAGTATGAGAGAGACTTGGTAATCAAGGTAAGAGGTAGACTGGGTCGTGATGCTCACTTATTAGACGGGCTGGTCACGAGTATAGGTCAGAGGCTCAATGACTTTGGCTTATCCCGCAGTTCGGTGGCGACAGCATTGCTTATGAGATCATGATATATATTAACAATCAGCGTTTAGCCCGGATATTGATAAGGTGATATGTAAGCCAAGCTATTTCCCCATCCTTGCAGACATATATAAGTGGGATATAACTCACTCCTGGTCATACCAAGGACACTTACATTTCGCTTTACATCAGATACCAACGAACAATGGCTCCTGATACCACCACCACCACCCTCAACTACTTCCTCGCTCCGCCTGACGGCTCTCGGCCTTACAATAAGATCTTCTCAGATGGTGCCGACGGAAAGCCGGGCTCTAACTGGATTCGGGACCCACATGAGGTACAAGTTGAGGACGTGCGCGGGAAGGAGGAACTTTACAAGCTTGACAATGCTGGATTTCAGTACGGGCGAGAAGCGGCAAAGCATACCAGCTTCTTAAATCATGATGAGGTTGAGGGGGAATACTACCCTGAGAGCATTGACCTCATCAAGAGGGTTACAGGAGCAACCAAGATTGTCATCTTTGATCACAGTACGTTGACCAAAAATTTGAAACGACATGTTGATGCCCAATTCATGTCACAGCCATTCGTCGCCGTCGCCCGGGCGAGGTAGATAATGGCCCACAGAAACGTCAGCCGGTCTCCCAGGCTCATGTGGACCAAACGCCTGCGGCATCCGTCGCTCGTGTTCATAGGCACCTCCCACCAACAGAGGCTCCTGCGCTCCTTCGCAGACGGTTCCAAATCGTAAATCTGTGGCGACCTATATCGCATGCAGCCGTAGATTGGCCACTTGCACTATGTGACTTTAGGAGTGTAGATTTCGAGAAGGACTTGGTTCCTGTCGCTCTTATATACCCCGACCGCGAGGGTGAGACATTTGGAGTCAAATACAGCCCAAATCACCAGTGGAAATACGTGAAGGCAATGACCCCAGAAGAGTTTGTTCTTATCAAATGGTGAGCAAAGTCGCTCTGGGGATATTTTTGTTGTGCTAAAAGAGTCTCAGCTTTGACTCGGTACAGGATGGCAGTGTCGCTAGGCTCACCCCTCATACTGGCTTCCAAGACCCAAACACTCCAGAGGGAGCACCGTTTCGGGAATCCATCGAGCTGAGAGCTCTGGTATTCTATGATTAGAATATGTTTTTTCGAGTGGCGTCAAGAATTACGAGGTCGTACCGCGTTGTGTTACTGTATCTGTATTATGCGTAGTTGTACTTTGCTGATTTTACTCTTTGGAACTTTGTACAATCCTCGTGGACGTATCGAAGCTGAATACTGAGCATGCGTTCATGATAAAGATTCATACGGCATGGAGAATTTTGCAATGATGTCGAGTGGTCCGAATCGAGGGCGCGTTTGCCTGCTGTCAATTGCCATCGAATCGTTGGTGGCAGGTCGAGTGGAGTCTGTTCCTTGGCGGTAGAGAGTAGCTTGGGTATTTTTAATGATCCTGAACGGTTGGGATGAGAGCGAGAGTGGCGTTGATTCGATGTAGTGTGTGGGTGTCGATTTCTGGCATTTAGTAGTCATGGTGCCACTTCGCGCTAAGCCAAGAAACGATCTGCATGAGCGAAGGCCGAGCCAGTGACGGTGCCTGCATAAGTAAATCATATGGCGCTGGATCAGTTCAACAATTATACATACACATACATACGACACACACAAATGCTGAACACACACACAGGTCTTGTATTGTACAAAATTCAGTACTATATGGTCAACTATGTTGTTCTAGCTAACGGGTCTTGAATCATTAAGTCGCTGCAGCCCTTGCAAAGTTCTCACTAGACTAACCAAGCCATCAGATGACTAGGGATTGGCACGGGTGTGTCGAAGGTCAGACCCGCACCCGTACCAGCGGGTATGCGGGAGAGGTCTTTGCAGGCTTTGCAAGGGCAGGTAGGCGACCAAAAATGTTAGTAGTATCATCATCCTGTAGTGCCAAATTTAAATACAAAAAATAACATAATAAACAAACCAACGGCGCACCTGGGCTATTGGGTCACCCGAGTCTTCTGATGTTTGAGTGCATACGAGCGCTCATACGGGCCGATCTGTGTGACAGACCAGGCGCAAAACCAGCGCGTTGCTGTGAAGTGCGATAGCCTCATCTGAGTCTTCGTCGTTGCCTCGATGGCAAAAGCGGGTGGAGAGTTGAGTCGCGAGGTTGTTTAATGACATGGACCGATCTGTGTGACCGACCAGGAGAAAAGCAACTGCTTCGCTGTGAAGCGCGATAGCCTCATCCAAGTCGGGCGCAAGAGACCAGAAGTATAGATCTGTAGGCATCGATCGGTTTGCGAGAGAACAGGTACATCAGTAAAACCTCAGATTTATTTTCCTTCAATAACCCACTTTTCTTGCCTTGGCGCTAGCGCTAAGGCATAAAAATAAATACAAGGAGTGATATGATAACTCGATCTTTCCGAAATTTCTCAAAGGCGCAAAGGCGCGGTCCATTGGGTTTGCCACACAAAGGAGAGAAAATGCATATTAAGAGAGAAAATAGTATTATAAATTCAAATGGTGTACAAGTAGCTAGATCAAAATGCAATCTCAAAGGCGTGATGGTCAGCGTATTTATTCACGTAGTAGGCGCGGAATGCATCATAGGAATGATAAAATTTGAGCTCTGGAGGCAGGAATTCCGTGCCGTACACGGGAATCAGATGTGCAGCGCGATAAACGGCGTCAATATGAATGATCGCGTACTCAACAGTATTGTTTGCATCCTCTCCTGGACGAACCACCCACATTCCCGTGTCTTCGTCTGCAGCATCGCCGATTTTGTCGAACCAGCGAACCACAACGCAGGGATACACTTCGCCCCGGTACTGGAATGAAAAAAATGCGCAAACGCGTGCGACTTCGAGACCTTGCATGCCAGGTAGACTAGAGTCTGTGTTGACAAAAACACAGTCGTTGCGTGAATGCCCACCTCGCCAGGAGGGACAAGAGCGGATGTGTTCAGTGCGCATGCCACCAATACCACTCAAATCGCTCGGCGCATAAAATCGCGATGATGCTGAGTTGAAGACCGCAATTTTGCTGAGATAGAGGGGGCATTCAGCAAGAGGTATGTCGGATGGATTGCGGGGATCATGACTCAACTGCAACCAATAATTTCTTGTAGTCGACAAATAATTCACCTCTGCCTAGTTTTGCCGTGGCACAACCATAGTCCTGCCATGTTCTGCCAGTTCTGCCGGTCAACGAACGTTTATCAAAGTGAGTGTACGTTCAGTGATGAACGGCATAGTGAAAATCCACTGTGGCATCGTACACTCACTTTGATAAACGTTCGTTGACCGGCAGAACACTGGGACTCCACGTGCGTAGCACAAACATATCATCCTCGACGCAATAGGATCCCAGGGTCATGATACAATGCTCTTAATCGATTGAACACGCCTCCGCACATTCTACCAAAACTTCTGCTATTTAATAGCAGTAACAATTCTGCCAAATCGATCAGGATCGCGCCCATTCGGAGCATAGTACATAGGATATAAATGCTGGTCGTCGTTCTATACAGTTCCCCCATCCTCAGACACATCATTCGAGACTCCTTCCAGAATATTCCATATTACCTTGCAAGAAATGCGTTTCTCCTTCCTCGCCGTTATTTGTGCTTTGACAGCATCCATGTATGTCAGTGCATGTGCCAAACCGGGATCATTTTGCAGCCGTAATATACCTTGCTGTAAAAACCGTCCTTGTAATCCTGACAAAGTGAGTATGAACAGGTCGCTGTGCATTCAGGATTCAACCATGACTCACCTGCATGCCTTAGAATGGGGTTACGACCTGCGTGTAGTATATTCCAAATAGCCCGAGGCCCCGAGCGGCACATCGTAACAGTGGGTCGTGTTCTGCTTTCGCTTTGGTATCATGTTTGATGGTGCAATACCTAGTTCGGAGTCAATATTAGTACAGTTGTTTGGTACTACTCGAGCAATATGAATGTTTGAATTTATCTGAAAACGATCGACCGTGCATGACTAGTAAGCTTGGTTTCACGAAGCTATTGAAACGAGTGATCATTGCTGTCGATAATCAATATTGGGAAGATGGAACTGACATTTCCTTATGATTTTGAATGTGGTTCTGCATGTTCGTGTAACGTTCGCCTCAAAGGTCGGTTCATGCTGTGCAATCGAAGGGTGACTCATGTCCGGTCCAGGACGCCCCGCCTGCCCCTCCGTCAGACCCGACCACACATGAGAAACTAAAACACACCACCGGAAACGCACATCCCTATCAGATATAACAAGTGAAACAAGGGTAGGGACCTACTATAACCAGGCGTTCCCCGTCCAAGCCGATCCTCCTCCAACAATCCCAAAACCAACCAGTCTCACCTCAAATTCCAATAAAATCAATCGGTATGCCAGGAGGGCGTAGGAGCACAACGTGGGTGCAAGCCCATCACCCACATCAGTGCCACGCACCACCTCACCTACATACGGCCTGAACACGCGTCGAACACCTATCGCGCAAGAAGCAATAGAAGCACTCTCAAACCGAGTACGGGGAGGCCAAATTCCCTACCAATGTTTCGGTAAATTGAAAGCGTCTCGGAGTACGATAACTAATGGCTCACAAAACTTGCGCTGTGTGTGGAATATCGACCCTGTCTATATCTTTTAGCATCAGTTCTTTGAACTGGTCACTGACCAAGTGCTCCGCAGAAACATGTCAGCAGCCTGTGACATGAATTAGACATACATCTTACACAATGAGTGTCATTGAAGTTCCAAATATCAAAATCGTCCTTGTGAATCACAGACAAGCAGTCCGTTATGGTAAAGCCGAAGTTCAAGCTCTTCCGAAGGAAGCGAGACCTCTCTAAAAGGGGTCGATGACCCCCATGCATCAGTACATTAAATCAGTGTGACGTCGGATGCATGCGCATGTAAATATCGACGATCCGACGAACATGAGGGAGGGGGCTGGTCAAGCAGAGTAGCTGTCAGAAGGGATGTTCTAGCAAGCCGCGCATGTGAAACCCATTGAGTTGAAGAAGAGTTAACTTTGACTTTGTAATTATCATCGTAGACACTACGTATAAACGATGTTCTACATAGCCTATTATAACCTAAGTTACTGCTTGAGATACAAATTCGTGAATAGACCAAGAACGCTATCGCTGGGTCACCATAATGCATAGAGACTAACCCCCCGTGACCCTGATGTGAACCTCACTCTAGCTTCTCGGGGTCCAGGTATGGGGACTATTGATTCTATGGTAGATGGTACCCGCGATGATACTCCTTTGAACGCAGTGCTCGGTAGCATCTGCGGTGAGGGCCCGCCGAGACTAGCGGCCATGCACTGATATCAGGATTCCATGATGATGGACTTAAGGAGTGATCGAGTTTAGCCCTTCACCCATCATCATCCGCATAGTCCCGACTACGCATACATACCTACATCGTAGACCACATCCTGTCCTTGTTATCTCCCGCCGTGTCACTCAATACAGCGCCGTTCTCCAGCTTCAACAGGGAGGGGATTAGCGAATGAGATAACTGAAACCAGTTGAGCCTGGAGTATGGGATGTATTGCAGTAAGCTATATGCATGGATTCGAAGGACCGACACGGTGCTGGAGTAGCTGCTCAACAGGAAAAATGACGATGTGGATGCAAGATATATAGTCAGGTTCGAGCGCTGGAGAGCACCGACTGCTCGATGAGATGCATTTTGGCAGATGCTGAAGACAAGAGTCGGGCGTATGTATGCACTAAAGCGCTGGGATGGTATTCTGTCAAGGACGGTGGGTATGACGCTAGGGTGTACGATTGGCATAACGATAATGGAGGCGTAGAGGCAAAAACCTCGTGTCCTATGCGTCTATAAAAATGAATTTGAATGAGACAAGGTGAATGCACTACTTCATGTGAAGCTCCACTTCTTAAGATGAAATTCAGTCATCAGTATCCTCTCTGCGAAGTGCTGTGACTCTACACTTGCGAGTGCACGGACCAATTATTTCGATTTGGGAGGCAACGGAGCTTTGGAGTTCAATACGGCCAAACAAACACAGGACCATGCTACAGATCTTTCAAATGGCGGCGTCTGAACAACCACTTCGGAAACAAGTCTCCCATTCATCCAATGAATGTTGTGGGAACTTGAATCTTCACTTTAAATTTTGGACTGGAGGTGATGAGTGTCAGCGGTTTTCGAACACTATCCTGCTTACCCTAATCGTATATCACCACGGTGGCGGCAGAGACCGCTTGGATCTAAATATCTTGATGTGACAAACCAGTCTGTCATAGACGCTTCCAAATCATAAATCTGTGGCGTCCTATATCGCATGCAGCTGAAGATTGGCCACTTGCACTATGTGACTTCAGGAGTGCCGAGTTCGAAAAAGACTTGATTTCTGTCGCTCTTATATACCCCGACCGCGAGGGTGAGACATTTGGAGTCAAATACAGTCCAAACCACCAGTGGAAATACATGAAGGCAATGACCCCAGAAAAGTTTGTTCTTATCAAATGGCGAGCAAAGTTGCTCTGGGGATATTTTTGTTGTGCTAAAAGAGTCTCAGCTTTGACTCGGTACAAGATGGCAGTGTCGCTAGGCTCACCCCTCATACTGGCTTCCAAGACCCGAACACTCCAGAGGGAGCACCGTTTCGGGAATCCATCGAGCTGAGAGCTCTGGTATTCTATGATTAGAATATGTTTTTTTCGAGTGGCGTCAAGAATTACAACGAGGTCGTACCGCGTTGTATTACCGTATCTGTATTATGCGTGAATTTTGGAATGATGTCGAGTAGTCCGAATCGAAGGCCATCGAATCGTTGGTGGCAGGTCGAGTGGAGTTTGTTCCTTGGCGGTCGAGAGTAGCTTGGGTATTTTTAATGATCCTGAACGGTTGGGATGAAAGCGAGAGTGGCAATTGATTTGATCTAGTGTGTGGGTGTCGATTTCTGGCATCTAGTAGTCATGGTGCCACTTCGCGCTAAGGAAGCGATTCGCATGAGCCAAGGCCGAGTCAGTGATGGTGACGGTGCCTTGAGTCTCAATTAATGAAGCTAGTCAGAAGTGCAGAGCGAGTACTGTAAAAATGACTGCACTCGAGTGCGAAAGGGGTGTGTAGAGGCTTGTAGGATGTATGGATGAGGATTGTAAACGAAAGCAGAATGATACATACAGAATGTGGTGAGTCTGAGATGATATAGATATGATTATGATACGCTGCTAGCTGTTACGACTTGGATGGTATCTTGTTGGCGACGCTCAAACAGAGCGTGTGTCGTCAACGGTCGAGGACGTCCTTGGGCTAGCCCAAGGTTAGGGGTCTTACTTGGCGAGGCTTCAGCAAGTAAGATTTGACGCCTATGTCCGAATCGGGTAGCTTACGTCAAACGGGTGCTAGACGATGAGCTGTATCTGCCAAGGCTTACGACACCCGAAGGTTAATCGTAAGATCGTCGTTAATTAGAAGGACGGAAGTCTGACTAGTTAACAGGGGCTTTGCTCGTCGACGAAGTCGATGAGTAAAGATCGAGACTATAGGCTTATCCGCGAAGAGCAGATAAGAAGATAGAATATAGACTGCTGGCTAGGCAGAAAGGATCACTCTGGTGAGAGTAGGAGGTCAAGAACCAAGTAGATTCAAGTTAGGGAATATGGTACATGGTAGTAGTGCTGCCGTGGTTCGGTTCGGAATGGTCAGGTCCGGTTATTTTCACGTTCGAACATGAACTGAACCCAATTTTTTTTACAGTGAGCAAAAAAAAAACGTAGATATTTTACAGCGCACAAAAAAACATAGATAGAACTTGTACTCGTAGCTACACATCCAACATGGCTGCTTCTGCCTCAACCTTTGCGGAAACATGGCCATTCTTGTATGCTGCCTTCAATAGCTGCAGTGAGCTGAATGTGGATGCTGCAAGTCCATTGCGTCGAACAGTAGAAGTGATCCCTCCGCTCGAAAAAGCCTGTTCGGAGGGGACGGAGCTTCCTTGAATGGGCAAGTAGTCTCGTGCAATGCGTGCTAGAGTAGGATACTGCAATGAGTGAAGCTAAGGAACCATTTAAGTAGCAAATAAACAGGTCATGATGAGATTACTTACGCCCCACCAGGCAACAATGTTGTCAGCTTGCTCTAGCGGCAAAGACAGATACATCGTGAGTTCTTGATGAGGATTATGAGCGCGTTGGTCTGCGGCTTGACAGGTTTTGATGGCCTCGCGCATCCACGTGTCACTGTACCGATTTTCATGCAAGGGTCTTGTTGGCGGAGTGGGTTCTTTGGCAGGTGCCCGAGTTGGTGGTTTATAATACTTGTCAAACTATAAACATAAGTTCAGGAATGCGAACGGATCGTCGAGAACCAGCTATAACTGGCACTGGTTTGCAACCTGTGAGAGTAGGCGCAGAGGAAGGAGTCGGCACAGAGGAAGGAGTAGATAGTGGGACAGTATCATCAGGATCATGATAAAAGATGATGTCCTTAGCATCCTTAAGAGATCCATCAGTATTGAGGGCGCATGCGTCAGATTCAGACATGATGATGAGTGAACTCACCTGGTGCTTGCTCCTTTTAACTGCTAACAAAGTGAACAACCGCTCTCCAAGGCCATATACATTGGAGGGTCGCGAAAACAGCCCATTCGAGAGCCGGGGGTGCGGGATGCGAGCCTCCGGAAAGAATTCAAAGTCGTCGCAAATCCCGAGGATCCCAATGACCATGGTGGCAGAAGTTGAAGTTGAGTCGAAGTCGAAGTGACCATTACTAGTAGTGTGTGCCTCACCGATAACATGAGGATGCTGCGGTTCAGGGGTTCGGAACGGTTCGGGAAGGTCCGAACCTATGTCCAAACTGTTCGGGTGATGGTGGACCGCGAACCTCTTTCAGGTCCGGTCTGTCCAAAACTTGGAACCATGGACTGAACCAAGGACGAACCTGACCAATGGTCAGGTTCAAACCACGGTTCGGGACCGGACCACGGCAGCACTACATGGTAGTGAGTTTATATAGAGGACAGGAGGCGTATTAGTGGGTGATAACTCGTACTACCAAGTGAAGTAAACGATAAAGGGCATAACCATAAAAGGAAGGCACATTCGGGGTGAGACACAGGTGAACCAGAACGTGCTTGATAAGAAAGTGAGTCAAAGGTCAAAACAAGAAGTGAAACGCGCAGGGGCACAATCGTGCAGCTGCGGAGCTAAGTATAGGTAACATGTGCGACTGCGCACTGAGTCAGAGATCGGGAAAGGGAACAGGGCAAAGGGGATGCATCATGCATCATATCATAGGTTACCGTCCGGACGGTAAGGGCAAGGGGACTGTCCACAGGATCAGTCAGGCGGTGGAACAGAGCATGGGTATGCTTCATCAGCGAAAGGATCCGGCCAGATGTACTGGCTCTGCTGAAGCGACAGGTAGAGGGCGAAAGGGAATGCGAGGATGACAAGGATAATGAGGGTGAGGTCGGGGTGAGGGTATGATGCAAGGGCTGATACGAGAAGGATGAGGAGAAAAATGGTAGGGGCCCAAGCGTCTAGATGTTCTTGTAACATTACCCCGGTTTCTAGGACTGAAATCAACAAGTTCAGTTATCCATGTTGTCATACCAGGAGGGGTCGCAGTCGAGGTCACAGAGTGCGTCCATGGCTTCTAAGGTGTTCTCTTCTCTATCTTGTTCGAGTCGCGCAGCGTTGTGATCATACGCTGCTTCTAACTGATGCATGTCAGTGTAGAACATTTCCGAGGATATTCCTCGACGAAGGATCTTCTTGCCGTGAAGGCGAGGGCAGAAGGGGGTGAGATGTCCGGGGGCGAACCGTCCACAAATGCGGCAGAAATATCGCTCACATTGTTTCTGTTTGTGGCCATACTGGTGGCAGACCCTGCACTTAAAGTTGCACTGGTAGGGTTGTGGGGTCGTCCTTGTGTGCGTATCGTTAAGTATTTGTTGCCTAGTGGGATCCTGGCCCGGTACATGTCGAGTGATGGGTAATCCGAGTGCAAGGATGCGCTCGGTATTTAATCTGCGACTTCGTCGAGGGGTGTGCGTAGGTGGAGGGACAGGGATAGGGGTATCGTCCCTCATGATAGGAGATCCGATAGATAATATTGGTATGTCATCAGTGGAGGTGAACCCTGGAGGGGGAGTGGTCAGACAAGCTTCCAAGCTCGGTTTGTCTTCTTCGTTCGTCTTTCTCCAAGGTGGTATGCGAGTTTCCTCACTCGACTTTTCTTCTTTGTGCTCCTTCTTCCCTTTATAGGGAGCAGGTAACGGGTCATTGGCTACGACCTCGTCGTTGATGATGGCAGCTCGGAGTTCTTCGAGCTCATCACTAGTCATCATCCTATGCTGCTCTTCTTCGTGTTCTGCGAACAATCTGTCGATTTCTTCTGACGTGAGGTTGGTGGGAATGAGGTTGGATCTTTTGGAATGGGGGGTTGGAGCACTGCACTCGGCAGTACGCTCGACAATGGATGCCTGTGTAGGCAGTTGGTTGTATGCAATTTCTTCTTCTATTTTGGCAACTGTGTCACCAAAGTTTCTGGATGCTAGAAGGTTCAAGAGGGACCTCTTGGCCTTCGTGACGGAGTATCGGGTGATCAGGTGAGGGGGACGGATACCGGATGGTCTGGCTGTAAAAGCGATAGTGTCAACTGCCCGAAAGGCATTGACAATTTCCAGGAGAACTGTGTCTTTGGTACGGTCAATAAAGCTGTCCAGTCGAAGCGCATACTGCGCTTCGAGAATAACGGCCTCCTAGAATGCCTTCTGAGAGTCCGGGGTCTGCGTGAAAGAAATGGTGGACTTGTGGATGAGTTCGACGATAGAGGCTGTGGATCCGAGGGAGAGGGAGGAGGCATTGGACGAAGTGGTAGACATGGAGATGATGGTAGCTGGTTAACAACTGAGGAGCTTTGTTGTCAGCTTGAGTCTCTTCTTATAGTCCTTGAGCATCTCCGCTGCGGACTTCAGTTCCTTCTCTGGGATCCACGTTTGTTCGGAGGGTGGATAGCCAACCCAGGAGACCAGGTATCGGTGTTTCGTTCTGGTACCCCTGTGTTGGAGGATCACTTCTATTTCGTAATGTTCTTCCCCGTCGATCAGGTCCGGTGGCAGTTCAGTATAGTTTGGGCCATGCACGTCCGTCTCCTGATAGGAGGATAATTCTGATGCATGGAACGTGGGGTGAACACGCCAGGTGGCAGGGAGTTCGAGGGTGAACGTGATGGGGGATAGGACCTGTTTAATGGTAAAGGGTCCGTATCGTTTTGGTGCGAGTTTCTTTGAAGGGAAGTGGGTGATCAAATGCGCAGCAGATAGCCACACCTTGTCCCCAACCTTCCAAGGTTGGTACTTTCGCCCGAATGTGCGTTCTGCCATGTGTTGCTGCGCAAGGCTGTGGCATGCCAGGGCTTCTTCACGGATCTTTGCGAGTTTCTTGACTCGATCCTCTGCTGCTGGCAGAGCGGAGTCGGGGAAGGCGTAAGGTATGCCTTTGGGTTCGTAACCCATCATGAGGTAGAACGGGGATGCGTTCCGAGCGGAGTGTCATCTGGAATTGTGGACGAATTCGGCCATGGGAAGGTGTCTGGCCCAATCGTTAGGGGTCGTCCTACAATAGATCCGAAGGTATGTCTCCAGCTCCTGGTTCATTCGTTCTGTCTGCCCATCCGTCTGGGGATGATAGGCAGT